TCATCCCCACCTTCGCCTGGCTCCACTGGCTCCCCATCTCCCAGAGGATAGAAGTCAAAATTCTCATCCTGGCATTCAAAGTCCTCCCTTCCTCTGTGACCTGCTAACTCCATATCGTCCTGTCCGCTCCCTCCGCTCAGCGGTCTACAGTCTGCTCCGTGTCCCCCACCTGTCGCACCCCACCATCAGTGGTCAGGCCTTCAGCCTCTCTTCCTCCACCCTTTGGAACACTGTCCCACATTCCTTTGCCTTGCTCCCTGCCGCATCTCCTTCAAGGCACATCTCAAAACCCTCCTCTTCGAACAAATCTTCAGTCACCCTCCTACTCCCACCCCCTCTGCCCTCCACCCAATCTGATCCCAAAGCCCTGCTCAGGTCCAAATCCAGTGCCTTGGGACGTCCTCTTGACACAAAAGGTGCTATACAATGTAATTTGTTGTTGTTGCCACAAAATACAGTCACTGCCCTTTACAGTAAAACTTTTGAAGCGCTTTGAGCATCCTCCTGATACAAAAGGCGCTGTATCAAACATAAGGATTATTATGTTGTTCAGTGTGGCATAATGGTCACCTATGGTCAGGGCTCCTCTGTGTCCCTGTGTTGCATTGCCCTGTGCTGAGCACCATGCATTAATTTTCAGACTTGGGAATGGTGGACCCTGTTTCTATTGCTATTGGAGAGGCTTCAATCTGGCCACTGACTCCATTCTTTGTACTGGCGCTTTGTACCAAGACTCAGACAAAACATTAAAGTATTGGAGCCAGCAACAGTGACTTGATATCATAGAATCATAGAATTACACAGCACAGAAGGAGGCCATTCGGCCCATCGTGTCTGTGCTAGCTCTTTGAAAAGAGCTATCCAATTCAACCCCACTCCCCTACTCTCTCTCCATTGCTCTGCAAACTTGTCCTCCCTAAATAATTATCTACTTCTCTCTTAAAAGTTGTTGTCGAATCGGCTTCCACCACCCTTTATGTATTCCAGATCCGAACAACTCGCTGTGTAAAAAAAAATTTCTCCTCACCTCCGCTCTGTTTCTTTTAACAACTATTTTAAATCGGTGTCCTTGGGTTACCGACCCACCCGCCAGTGGAAATAGTTTGTCCTTGTTCACCCTATCGAATCCCCCCATAATTTTGAAAATGTCTATTAAATCTCCTCTTAACCTTCTCTGCTCCAAGGAGAATAATCCTAGTTTCTCTAGCCTCTCCCGATAACTGAAGTCCCTCATTCCTGGTACCATCCTGATAAATCTCCTTTCCACCCTCTCCAATGCCTTGACATCCTTCCCAGAACTGAACACAGTACTCTAGCTGAGGTCTAACCAATGTTTTATAAAGGTTCATCATAACTTCCTGACTCTTGTATTCTATTCTTTTTATAAAGCCGAGTATCCCATATGCTTTTTTAACAGCTTTATCAATCTGTCCTACGACCTTCAAATATTTACATATAAGAACCCCCAGGTCTCTCTATTCCTTCACTCCTGTTAAGATTGTACCATCAGCTTATATTGCCTCTCCTCATTCTTCCTCTCAAAATACATCACTTTGCATTTCTCCACATTAATCTTCATCTGCCACCTGTTTGCCCAGCTTACCAGTCTGTCTATGTCCTCTTGCAGTCTGCTACTATCCTCCTCACTGTTTACTACTTTTCCTAGCTTAGTGTCATCTGCAAACTTGGAAATTGTACTCCCTATACCCAAGTCCAGGTCATTTATATAGATCAAAAACAGCAATGGTCCCAATACCTACCCCTGGGGGACACCACTGCATACTTCCCTCCAGTCAGAAAAACAACTGTTCACCACCACTCTCAGCTTTCTGTCTCCCAGCCAGTTCTTTATCCATGCTGCCACTGTCCCTTTAATACGGTGGGCTTCTATTTTGCTTACTAGTCTCTTATGTGGCATTTTATCAAACGCCTTTTGAAAATCCATATAAACTACATCAACTGCACTACCTTCACCCTCTGTTACTTCATAACATGATTTTTTAGACATAATTTGCCTTTAACAAATCTGCATTGGTTGTCCTTTATTAACCCGTATTTTTCTAAGTGAATGTGAAGGGCAATATCTTTTAAACCTCTAAACTTTTAAACTTTGGCATATAAGACATGCATTTGGGCAGATTTTGAGACGTGGGTGTTGTGTGAAATACAAAAGAGGTCATCAGCTTTTAGTTTTTTTTGTTTGTTTTGGTCAGTTGGGTGTCTGACACATGCGGAAACCCATCCCCATGCTTAAGAGTATCCAAACCAAACTGAGAATTCCATGGATCCCACCTACCCATAGAAATTCCAGAGATAGATTATTGGAATGGAATGCGCATTCTCTCCCTGGAGGGATGCATCCTGCTGACCTAATTCCAGGAAGTATTAGGCTTGGGGACCCCAGAGAGTGCATTGAGGTACGCTGAAGTCTAACCAGCTAATACTGCAGAGCTTGCCATTGATAGTACTGTCTGGCAAGCTTCCCTGCTGCTTGTCCAACTAGGATCATCCTACCCATTAGTGCTTTGACTTGCAGGGCTAAGAGGAGCTGAGTGGGATGACTCCCACAGTGACTGTTCTGCCCTTCCAAGTCCTCTTGTCATCCTGTGCTGTCATCAGAGTGCTCTGGAGTACTGTGGACTTGCCTGGCTTAGGAACCAAGACCGTCGCAGACTCAATTCTGACATAACTGCTTGTTAAGAAAGTATTGTCGGCATTCTCAGCTCTTCCCTCCACAAGCTGCAGATCATCCTGAACTCTGCAGCTCATGTCAATTCAGCGCTTGAAATCAGCAAGAGTAAAATAAAATAAATGGAATGGGTGGAGATTTGGCTGGCCCTTCTCAATCTCTCCCGTGTCTGCTCAGGTCAAGGCTGCCTGTTACAATTTCTTGAGTACAATTTTGACCGATGTGAATGCATCGCGGGTGTACAGAGAACGGTGCATCTTTTATCGCTGTATCTCGAGTGGTTTGTCAGCCTCCTGAGTCTGTGTGGAGTAAATGCCAACAGAGCAGGGCAATGACTTTGCGAGGCAGGGATTTTTCAAAGTTCTGTTTACACGGAGATTGCAGATGAACTGTAATTTTAGGCAATTGCGGCAATCCATTTGTGCAAGCAGTGTACCACAGAGAGCCATGATGGATTGAGTAACCAATTTTATTTGGGAAATTGTTGGCCAGGACATCAGGAGAGAGTCGAAGAGCGCTATGGGATCTTTAACGTCAACCTGTACTCCCATGACCCCAGTCCTTGACGGACTCCATTGGCTCCCTATCACCAAATGAATCGATTTCAAAATCTTCACACTCCTCTACAAATCCCTTCATGCCCTGACTCCTCCCTACCTCTCCGACCTGTTTTTACTCCATTCCACTACTTGATGCCTCCACTCAACTAGCTCCAGATTCCTGCTCGTCCCTTGTACCCTCTGCTCCACCATCGATGGCCAAGCTTCAGCCACTACGCCCTGAAGCTTCGGAACCCTCTCCCCCAATTTCTCCACCTTGCCCCCTCCTTCCCCTCCTTTATATCACCACTGAAGACCTTTTTTACCATACTTACGGTCATCTCCTCCTTCCCCTCGGCTCGACAACAGGCTCCAATACTGGTAAGCACCATCCGAGTCGCTGCCCCATTTGAAGGGGCTATATAAATGCAAGTTTGTGTTGGAGGGTCAACCTAGACTAAGTGGGTTCAAGGTCTGGTATGGGGCTTGTACCTTCTGACTTGGAAGCGAGAGCTCTACTGACAATGGATTGGGTTCCATTATTGCCTGGAAGGACTGAAAAAAAAACTATTATTTTTATTTTGGATGCAATAAGACCACTGGTTTCCCAAGCACACAATCCCCTTCATGTTTCAGAAGTTACAACAAAATAGTAAAAACTAATTCTTAGGATTCACACACGCCAGATTAAATGGAGTCGATTGGATCCATTCTGAAAGTCGCTTCAATGTTACACTTCATCTCAAAGTTACAGGGAATTTAATCTCCTCTTGTGTGAATGTGTTTACATTTACAAAAAAAAGTTGTGTGAATTGGGATTGATCTGAAGCGATCAATCACAATTCAAGCATTGGATTAAAAATCTAATCGGCATCATGAGTCTGGGCCTCTGTTTACCTAGCAGTAAGTAAAAACCTGATTGTTAGTCGGTTGGCAGATCGCTTTCTGGGGATAAAACAAATGTGTTAATTCAATTCACGACTGTGGTGCGCAATTGGCTGTCGTGTTGTGCCCACAAAATCCGCTAGACAGTAGTTCTTTGAAGCGCTTTGAGATGTCTCCGTGACGTGATAAGGCGCTATATCAAATACAAGGATTATTATTATTATTATGACTAATTGGAGCATCCCTGAGTCAGAATTGAAACCCAATTCTTCCATTTGTTTTTCCTGAAGAATGATCAAACAGATGGCTTTTGATTGATGTGTGTCATGTAATGTCATCAATATTTCAATCTATTGCTGCAATACTGTCAGCCTAACTCGATTGGCAGCACTGTCGAGTCAAAATAATGATGATAATAATAATATAATAATAATAATCCTTGCATTAGATATAGTACCTTACCAGGTGGGTGAGATGTGTCAAAGCGCTTCACAGACTATACTGTAAGGTGAATTAACTGAGTACTTTGTGGGTGAAACCCAGACAACAGTGTCCCACAAACAGTAGTGGATTGTGTAACTGCCTGTTTCGCCCTCAAAATACACATTCAATCCACTTTACAATAAGCGCTTTGAGATGTCTCAAATGCAAGGATTATTATTATCATTATTATTTCGATTCGCACTCTCCCAGAAGGCTGGCTGAATTCTGATATTCGGTTGTCAGTTCAACTCCAAAGAGATCACGCTTACCTCCAGTTTGGCTTAAACATAAGGCAGCCACAAGCCAATCGAAAGGAGACCTTGGGGAGGGAGAGAAAAATGGAAAGACCCTGTGGGGGAACGAGAATTTTTGCTGACAGGTTGTGTTGTGTTGCATGTCCACAGGTCTCCCTCGGTCTGGTGCATGCCCGAGCGTCACACATTATCTGGCCTCCCAGTCGCTGGATGAAGCTTCAGTCGGAGCTGCCGAACAAGCGAAAGCCCGTACTGGGTGGGGAGGAAGACAACTGCGAGTAGCCACCCTGCACTCGATGAACCCCTGTCTCAAAGTGTCTGTAGCATTGTGGTTAGTGCCTCCCTCTTGTCACATTGTACAAGTGTGTGTGAAAGAGGACTGGGATTCGATTCCCGGGCAGGGTGAAACCTTAAGCAAGTTTTCCGGCTCCACACTCCTCTGTTTACCTAGCAGTAAGTAGGAACCCAGTTGTCAGTCAATTGGCAGATCTCTTTCCTTGGTAATAATCCCTCAAAAAGAAATTGTTCAATCAATCCACGACTGTTTTGGGGATATTGTTGTGCACAATTGGCTGCTGCATTTCACCCATAAAATCCACTTTACAATATATCCTGTGAAGCTCTTTGAGTTGTCTCAATGACATGATCAGGCACCATATCAAATGCAAAGATTATTTTTTATATTATTAAGAGCCAAGCTTGGCGCCCCAGAGTGTGCATTGGTCTGATAGTTGCTTTGAATGGTGTCCGACTGCACTGTAAATTTCTATGTTTCCCACACCTTTGAAATGCTTTCTATTATTTTATTATGTAACTCGTTTTAAGTGACTGTACTTTTGTGTCGTTTATTTCCGTAACAGTCATTGCACTAGTAAATTGCATTGCATTAGTAAATTCTGTGTAGCACGTTGAGAGGTGCTCCTGATGTGAAAGGCACTGTATCAGATAATAATAATAATAATAATCCTTGCATTGATATAGCACCTTATGATATCATCAGATTTCTCAAAGTGCTTCACAGCATGTACTGCAAAGTGAATTGACTATATTTTGTGGGTGAAATGTGGCAGCCAATTGCACACAGCAGTGTCCCACAACCACTGGTGGATTTACTGTCAATTACTTAGCCAATTGACTAACAATTGGATTCCTACCTGCTCCTAGGTAAACAGAGGCATGTGAAGTAGGGAAGGAAACTTGCCTAAGATTTCGCCAGGAATCTAACCTGGGACCTCAAGCCTGCAACGCGAGTATATCGAATAATAATAATAAAAATAATCCTTGCATTTGATACAGTGCCTTATTCCGTTATTAGACATCTCAAAGTGCTTCACTGTGTATTTGTGAGCGAAACAATGCAAAGATAAAGTTTGCAGTGGCAAGGCGCTGATTTTAAAAAATCAGTATTTATGATCTTTTTAAAAATTGAATAGGATTAGGAATACATTTGTAAAGATCTCACAAATGGATTGTGCAAAGACTGTGCTCATGCAAAATATGTTTTGTCCATCAGATGTGTAACAAAGAGAATATTGTACAGTGTTGACAAGAGGGAGGCCAGTGCATAAACCATGAAGGCCGCTTTCTCTCGGTGCAGAACATAGCAAGAGAGTCGAGCTGGGTCCTTCCTCACTCCGAAGTGATGCGTAGTGTAAAGCCCACGGTGAACAATGCTGTCATCGACCCCAATGCTGTGATGCTCTTGGCAAAGTTGACGTCAGTTTGATATTTCATGCTTTTTAAAAAGCTCATCTCTTTCAGTGCGTGCAGAGGTCATGCTTTCAGCCACCAGAGTTAGTCGCAATTAGTCCTATTTTGTTTTGGTGCCAGGTGTCTGACACATGCAGAAACCATCACCATGCTAATGCAAGAGTATCCAAATTAGACTCTTGCTAACCTGCACCTAATACTTTCCAGAAATAGATAACCAGGATGCATTCCCTCCAAAGAGAAAATCTGAAATCCATTCGAACAATCTATCTCTGGGATATCCATGTTGATGGGTTTCCACAGGTGTCCCAAGACTGACCAAAAAAGTCCAAATCCAACTGAGGTGTGAAGCGCTTTTGAGATGTCTCAATGACATGATAAGATATATCAAATACAAGGATTATTATTATTATCTCATTGGTACATCTTTTAGAATATGTTAAAATGATTGTGATGTTTGCCTATTTATGTAATGTTTGATTGTTCTTGCTTTGACAAAATGAATTGTGAAATGGTTTAATAATGACACAAGTCTTGGCTGCTGTGTGAAACTAGGGAGGAGGGAGGGTTGTTAAAGCTGAGAAGCAATAATAGGTAAGAATATTGCATTTAATCATTGTAACGAAATGTCATGTGCAACATTCTGATTTGAACCCACGCACTGACCTTCAAGCAGTGTTTTGGTGGGAAAAGATGTGATGTTCGGCAGAGAAACAGAAATAAATGTTGCGTAAACCCAAATGTGTGATGTGATGTGTGGATCTCTCACAATGTCGTTCATTGATACTTCAATAAACAACAAGGTTCACATAGCACCCGTCAGACAGGAAAATGTCTTGGAGCCCTGCACAGGTTGGACTCTGAGCAAAGAAGGGGGGAGGGGTAGTGACCAGAGGTAGGTCTTCAGGTGGGATTTGAAGAGAGATAAAGAGCAGATAAAGATAAATACATAGCTTCCCCAAAATTTGTGAACATTATCAATGAATTGAATGAGTTGGCCCCAATGGCTGTATCAAGCAGAGCCAAGAATTCTTCTTTTTATTCATTTATTTGATGAGAAACAAGCACTTTGTTAATTCTGGCAAGCTTTCCCACTACTTGGCCAGCTTGGACCACCCTACCCGTTAGGGCTTTGACTTGCAGGGTTAACAAGAACTGAGTGGGAGGATGCCCTGCTCCCAGTGTCTCGTATGCCCTTCTATGTCCTGCCATTGAGCCAGGTTGGCTGTGTTATTGTCAGCAGTGCACCAGAATACTGCAGACTCGTTTGGCTCAGGACTACTGAGACAGCCACAAAGGACTTGCTCGATTCTGTGGCTCCAAGGAGACCCCACTTACCTCCCCTTCAAGGAGGATAGCACTTTGTTAAAATGGTAAGAAGGTGTGAAATGGATCCAGCAGGATCTGATCACAACATTTTAGTCTGCTGCTAAGATTTTCTTTCATTGCCATTTGCAGTCAGTTAGTGGTTGAGGCAGATTTTATTCCCGGGACTTTGAACTCAGGTCATGCAAGTTGACTCTCCAGGCAGTGTGTGGGGGAGCGCTGCATTCTCAGGGGTTTCTTGTCCTTCGGATCAGATGTTTGGCTGTTCACCTACATGCCCCACCATTAGCAGATAGACCTTTGCTCTTCTGCCCCCACCCTCTGGAACTCCATCCCCAAATCCTTCTGTCTCACCCCCTCCCTCGCTTCCTTCAATGCCTATCTCAAGACCTTTCACTTTGACGATGCCTTCGGCCACCCTCCCACTCCCACATGTTGCATCTCATGTTCAGACGGACGTTAAAGATCCCAAGTCACAACTCAAAGGGAGTTTCTCTTTCCCAACATCCAATTTGCGCACAGCGATGTCCCAAAAACTGCCAGGAAACAGTCAATTTCGTTGGCCAACAATCCCCCCTAGTGAAATTGACTGTTTCTTGGATATCACTGTGTGCAAATTGGCTGCCACATTCAAAACAGACAGTTACTGCACTTTGTAGTACATGCGTGAAACACACTGAGACATCGCTTGAATGTGAAACAAAAGACAATTCCATCTTTCGAGTGGCTCGGGAACACTGCGGCCTGTGAGGTTTGCCTTCCGCTGCCTTTGGAACGCTGATCATTGGTGCACAGTGCAGTCGAGAGGGATTGCCTTTTTGGCCTCGACATAATTTATGCTGCCAGGAGCCACAAGTCACCAGTCCCTCTGTGCCAATGTACTTGTGCTTTTGTACTATTCCAATGGTCTCCTCCACAAACTACAACTGATTCAGAACTCTGCCACTCATATGACCCCCATCACATGCTTGCCAGGCTCCACTGACTCCATATCACAGCACAGATCGAGTTTGGTCACTTCCTCCTTCCCCCAGCTCAGCGTCAGGCTCTGCCACTGTTAAGCGCTCCAAGATGCTGCCCTGAATGATGGACACTGTATAAATGCAACTTCTTTGTTGTCCATTGTGTTGCTGGTGGAATGCACCCAGAATCACTCAGAGGATGGACAACTCGCAATGCACCTCTCTCTGCTTTCCCTTAGGCCTCATTCCTTGCGTTTTGACATCTTTCCTGAGAGTCTGCCCACACTGTCCATGCTGAGCCATGTCAAATCCACACAGAAATGATACCTGTATTGCACAGAAGGAGGAACAGATGATTTCACCATGGCCTGTGTTTGTTGATTGATTTGGTGTCTTGCTGTAAAACAGCAGAGGGATGTTAATTGCTGCTTGCCCTCCAATCCATGGACTCTCATCCATCACTAAAGAGATTTTCTCATCATTAATTTCTGCTTGATAGTAAACAAAAACCTCCTGAAGATATTTGTCTTGTAATTGATGACGTTCCAGGCAAGTGCATTCTGCCATTTTATGCTAAGAACTTGGAGCCACAACAATATTCAGAATGCAGCTGCTAAACTCCACCTCCATAATATACATTTATGCTGTGCCTTTCACATTCGGAGAATGTTCCAAGGTACTTAACAATTCCAGCTGGGCACCCTTGCTGGTAATGGGAGTTGACGGGATGGGGAGGAGAAAGATGTCTGAAAGCGCAGTCAAAGACAGACCTTATTTTAGAAGTCCTTCAATAGTTTTTAACTTGGCATAACTGGCTTTTGCCTTAAGTTAACCAGATGTTCTGGTTCTGAAATTGATCGTTTCAGTCATGGTGAGTGCAGCATTGAGTTTTTTTTGGGGTTAGACAGGTGTCTGACAGATGCAGAAAACCATCACCGTGCTTCCGAGTATCCAAACCAGACTAAGAGATCCACCTGTACATGGAAATTCCCATGTTTGGAATGGAATCTGCACCCCCTCCCTTTTGAGGGACACAACTCGCTTGTTTAAATCTGGAAAATATTTGCCGCAGGTTGGTGAGAGCCAAGGGGTGGGGGGGAGGGAGGGGTGGAGCGGGAGGGAGTTGTGGAAAATGGGGACAGGAGGCTAAAATCCTACCCACGAATGGTGGGACGTGAGAGATGAAGCAGACCAGTGTTCAATGAGCAAAGGGAGTGTCCGAGTAGCATTGAAGGAGGTCCCAGGGGTACGCAGAGGTAAACCATGAAGGGATTTAATGCTGAGAATAGGATTTTTAACTTGATCCATTGGGGGACAGGAACCATTGGAATCATTGTTCTGATCAGCAGGTTGTGGGTTCAAGTGCCACGTTGGGACTTGGAATCACGTAATCAAAGCTGAC